ATCCTTTGTCAAAATAAATTTCAGATGCTAACCTTAAGAGAGGGGTGAAAGTTTGGATGAAGGTGAAGAGAGGAAATTCCTAAAACACATTCAGATACCTCTAGATCCTACAGAATGCTTTTAGCACAAAAATGATTTAAGGCAATAATCGGTAAATGATTAACATTCCTACCTCTGCATACATTCAAACAACTTAAAGATAAGCCTGCCAGGAAGATATTTTTCAAAGCCACAAATTATTAAAGCTCCATCTCCATTACCTTACCTTGGCATACTTTTGTTCTGTTGAATGCCAACAGCATACTTGAAATTAAACAAAACAGTTCACTACACATGACCTAGCTTCATATGGAATTTTACAAAATCTGTGAAAGAAAGAAGTTGATCATTTTAGGAAAAAGATTTTAAGCTCGTATGCACGTGTCATCCCCATCTACCAATGCACTGCTTTGACCCAGAATTAAATCACTTTCTGTGTATTCTGGAGGCCATGATGGTTTTAGGGGCATTAGTGGATATTTTAACCAGTCCCTTAGAGACACGCACGCTTGCTATTAATCATAGACGGAGCCTGCCTACTGTCTCTCCATGGCTGATGGGTGAGCACATTTGCTTGCTATTTCTCAAGTTCTCTTTCTAGCTAAGACAACCAGAAAGAAGATGAAATTCTCCCCACAAGGGCACAGACCCCTAGTAACTAAACCACACATAGAGGAGGATCTGGAAAGCTGAGAATCACAGGGAAGTTTGGGAAAAGGAAAAGCACAAATGAAGCAGTAGCAATGAAAAGGGGATACGTTAGAAAATCAGGGTCAGAAAAAAAAGTTATGTCACAGAGGTAGCAATTCTGTAAGAAAGATAATTATGTATGAAATTTTAGGATTTTCTAAAACAGAGACTTTAGAAATAATAGGATAGTAACTAGTTTAAATAGAATGAATGCTGAAATTAAATAGAAAGGAGATGCATATTCAAACTGACCAAACAACAATATTTTTAGGGGTTTTCCTCACAATGTTGAGTTTTTCAACACATGGGTACTTAGCACAGTAACAGTAGAATGAACCATCAATGAAGGATACAGTTTCCTTCTCTTTACCTTTGGTAGGTAACCACCAAGCAGCAGGGACTGAAAGACTGGCCTAGTAATCACCTGGGCTGGTCTGGGTCATGGCCAGTGTTCACCGTGCCAAGCCCATTTCTCAAAGGCCCCATAGGAAATTTTAAAAGTGAGTAACTTTGAATGACGATTTCATGATTTTACCTAAAAAACACAGAGCAGGAAAAAAACATGAGGAACCATTAAGGGGGCGGGGTGGAAAGAGCAGATCTGTCTCTACAGTGTGACGTGCTAGGGTGATTTTCATGAACTTTACATTTTCAGTGGACTTTCACGTTGCTTATTGGTGAAAAATTGGTGGTTCTTGGCCTAGTGCCAAAACCACAGATAAACTAACACTTTACATGTCATATACATTCATAAAACCTATTCTATTTATCTCTTTAGAAATAAGGTCAGATCAATACTGTATTTCTTGAGAATCTTTCTAGTGTCATTCTTTTTTTATCTCTTCAAGTGGAGCATGACTGACTATAATGGTGATTAATTTGTCTCCAGCTCTGACAACCGTGCCTAGCCGATGGTGGATGGGAAGTAGATGTTTAGAGAATGCATGACTAAAGCCCTAAGAGGAAAATGTACCATATACCTGCCAGGTGTGGTGGCTCATGCCTGGAATCTCAGCACTTGGGGAGGCCAAGACAGCCAGATTACTTGAGGCCAGGAGTTTGAGACCAGCCTGGCCAACATGGTGAAACTCTGTGTCTACTAAAACTACAAAAATTAGCCGGGTGTGGTGGCAGGTGCCTGTAATCCCAGCTACTCCGAAGGCTGAGGCAGGAGAATCGCTTGAATCCAGGATAGGATTGAGCTGAGATCATGCCACTGCACTCCAACCTAGGTGACAGAGTGAGGCTTTGTCAAGAAAGAAAGAGAGAAAAAGAGGGAGGGAGGGGGGAGGGAGGCAGGGAGGGAAGGAAGCAAGGAGGAAGGAAGGAGGGAAGGAAGGAAGGAGGGAAGGAAGGAAGGAAGGAAGGAAGGAAGGAAGGAAGGAAGGAAGGAAGGGCAGGAATGGTACCATATACCTTCAGTATACAGCTGTGATGAAGATTGAGACAAGGGGACATTTGGATTAAAGTGCGACACCACCTCCCATCCTCTGGAGAATAGTAGATCACTCGAAAATGAGACCAGTGGCCCCTGCTTTGCATTTTCCCTTCCTTAAGTCAAGTTTATTCTCTTCTCTGTTCAGTTGGACCTATCCCTAACCCCTTCTCAAGTTTGATGTCTATAGTGACCAAAGCAATATAGCTGAGGGGTTTGCTTTGACTTCTAATTCTAAACTCAAGCTTGTAAGAATGAAAAAAAGTCACTGATAGCTGTGGATATTCAGCTTATTTGCTTCCCTTTGATTTATCCTTAGATTATGCTGAAGTCAATGTCTAGAAAGGATTTATGTGCATATATTTAAGAAGCAGAAAACAAGTTTCATTCCTTTAATTAAAAATTTACCTTGAAATAAAAATGTTGTATTTTAATGAAAATATATTTACATAAGAGACTGTGTAGAGTTTAAAGTTTAAAGAAATACTTGAAATCAACTCCAGGCTCAGCTACTTACCATACGATATCTTCTGAGTGTTACTTCCTCATCACTAAAATGGGAATAAACCACCCATCATATGTGGTTTTTATGAGAATTAATGGGATAATACATGTAAAATAATTAACACATTATATTCATTAACTGATAGCTATCATTATTATAATGTAATATAAGTCTGAGAGAAATGTCCAACAAGAGACTTATGCTGTAAAAATATGTACCCTCTACAGGCATTTTTAATGATTCTATTTTATTAGACTATTTCAATGAAATTTAAGTCATTTTATTCAATTATTGATTTTTTTAATTGGCCAAATCTCTAAGCTAAACGATTAATTTAAAAATGTTTAATAGCAGTATGATTAGATTTTCATATATGCCCAAACTAGCAACATTTTTATACTAATGATTACCTAACTTCTGATTAAATTTTCTTAATTCATAACTGCTGTAGTACCGGAAGTACTTCCCATGAGATGATATGAGCTGCAAAAGACACAGGACATGTCTATAGAAAAAGAAGTGACAGCAGTTATAAATAACAGTCCTATTATTCAGAGAGATTAGAATCTAAATGGACACTTAAACTGAGTCTTATCAGGAAGGCGGACACTTGTTTTTTGAAACATGAAGAGTAACTTCAGAGATGGCTCCATCACATAGTGGTTTGTATATTTATGTGTCTGTGCAATTTGGGGAGCAGGAACTGAAATATGCACTTAAAAGTATCCAGTATGTAGCAATTTGTGACTTGGACAGACATATGTATGTGTACAGTGAATGCTTGTGTCAGTTTCCTGTTGCTGCTGCAAGAAATTACCAAAAAAAATGCAACAGATTCCAATAGCACTCATCTATTTTCTTACAGTTCTGGAGGTCTGACGTCCAAAGTGGGTTTCACTGGGAGAAAAGGAAAGTGTTGGCTGTGCCAGCTTTCCTCCAGAAGCTGTAGGGGAGAATCTGCTTCTTTGCCTTTCCCAACTTCCAGAAGCTGCCTGTATTCCTTGATTTGTGGACCTTATTCCCATCTTCAAAGCCAGCAGTGTAGAATCTTCAATCTCTTTTCTCTCCCATTTCTGTCATCACATCTCCTGTCTTAATGCTCCTGACTCCCTCTTTCACTTATGAGGACCCTTGTGATTACATTGAACCCACTTGGTTAACCTGGGATAATCTTCCCATCTCAAAATCCTTAACTTCATTATATCTGCAAAATCTCTTTTGCCATGTAAGGTTACATATTCATAGATCCTGGAGATTAGGATGTGAACATCTTTGGGGGACCAATGTTCTGTCTACTACAATGCTAAATTTTGTCTTCTTCCTCTAACAGGCAACTGGATTTAAAGAATCACTTCCAGTATCTGGTGAACCAGGAGAATACTAGCTAGGACAGACTTAGTAAGAAAGCAAGAACTAATCCTTTTTATTACCATGAGAGATCTTCTTTTGTTAAGGTATAAAGCCCAAATAATCACATAAATGGATGGATTTTTGGGAAGGTGACAAGTACACATACAATAACACAACGCATTTTGGGGGAATAGGATCACAGGGAGGTTAGTTTGAGAAATGGAATCTGAGTCACTGTGTTTATTTGCTGGAAAAAAATGCTACAAGATGGTTTTTGTGCTTACTTCCACTCATTTTTATTCCCTCGCCCTTCTTCTCCATGTTTTTTTAAGAACTCTGAATTAATACAGGACTGTGCTGTACACTTGCTTTCATTTTATTCTCCATCTATTTCTTGGTTTTATAATATTCAAATGAGGATAAGAATATATAAAACTCAAATTGATTACAAATTTTACTTGGCAGTAGCATTCTGAATGCTTAAAAGAGATGAATTTTATTATTAGCTGAGGGATTTGCAAATATTAAGAATTGTAGAAAAATTTATTCATGCTAATGACTCTGAGCCTATGATATGTGTATTGGTATGATACCCTGCACACAAATTCAAGCAGGGTTATAGATCATGTATTTAGGTTTGACAGAATTTATCACTCTCCCAATGTAGTTCTAAATCAATTTGTTTTCAAGAACTAAACAGTTGACTTCTTTATAATGAGCATCCAGAATAAAGTAGCAAAGCTATTGATGTGTCACCTGAAATGTGCTTGCTTTCTTGAAGCTGGTATCTATGATCACTTCAGCTTTGCAGGCTTCCATGGGGCTCACCAGCAAACTTTGCCTGGTTCTTAGGTGGGATTTCATTGATTTTAGCATATTTCAAAGAAAAAATAATAAATTCTGTTTTTTTCTGCTAAACAGTTTGGATTATTGTTAACCTTAGAATTTCTTTTGTGTCACAATAATACACTGGACTAGCCATCTGGGAATATTATGGATATTTTTATTGTATGTGTGATATGAGTCAGTTCCTAACAGAAAAAGGCATCTCTTTGTTGTTTGACTTTTCCTTCATTTGCTTACTGAGCATGGTGATTTTGTTTGTTGTTGAACACCTGTCCTTCTTAATAGGTAGCATAGGTAGCATCAGAATTGGAGTTGTCACAGAGCCTGGGGCCGGATTGCTGAGCTTCCCTTCCCAGCTCCGAAACTCACCAGCTATCTGAACTGGCGCAGGTTTTAGAAACTGTTTCCTTATCTGTAAAATAGAGATAAAAAATAAAATAGCCTCTATCTCCTAGTATGATTGAGAGTATTAAATGGATTCATATTCTGACACATAGAAAGCACTTTATAAATATTTGCTATGAAGTTTTCACTTGTAAATCATTCTTTGAAGTTCTTTATCCATTATCCAATGTTAGCATTTTTTTCTGGCCCATCAGTGTTCTTTAATGAAAATAAATATGTGTATTTATTAAAATTATCCTTTTCTAATTTTTATTTTCTCTTATAAATTTTGCTGAAAATATTTTTTACTTTGAATTTTTATGCTTATAAAGTCCAGTTGAAACCATTTTATGAACTACTTGTATTTCTCTAAAGATTCATAATTTTAAAAAATATTTAACTCTTTAGCCATCTGGTGTTTCACTTGCAATATGCTGTGAGGTGGGGATCTCTTAATATTTTCCTCAAATCATTACCCAGTTTTTCCCAGCACAATTTGTTGAGAGTGCTCAGTTTCATCCCCTTTCTGCATCTTTCTCTCTAACACATATTCACATGGCCAACTCCCTCAGGATTCAGTACAGATGTTCTACTTTTCAGATGCCTTCCCTGACACCTGCCTCACTAACATACCCAGGTGGATTATGTCCCTGCTGTAGGCTTCCAACTCAGCTGGAACAAACCCATTACACACTGACTATAATACCCTCTCTCTCCAACTATACTGAAAGCCCTGAAAGATAGTGAAAGTATCTCATGCTTTTTGTAGAGTATCAGTATTTGTTTAGTGAGAATGAATATAAATAAACCTTATCAATTATATAATTAATTATATAAACCTTGTCAATTATATAATTATGTAACTAATTATATAATTCAAAATCATTTATTTCTGAGCTTTCATCTGGCAATATGTAGAAAGATATGGTAAAGTCACCCGCAGCTATTATTTTCCCATAAAGGTTTCCTTTTCCTTGTTACTAATGGCCTTTTACTGTTGCTGTACTGTGCTAATTAGCACGTAGTGGTCCACAGTTATTCCAGCTTCATAGTGGGATGGTATCTTTTAGCTGTGGAATGGTCCTTTATCTCATTTAATATATGAATAATTTGTTTTTAAGGATACTTTGTATGAAGATAGCATAGTAATGATGACTTTTCTTCATTTATATTTGCCTGGTAATTTATTGTTCAATATATTTTTTAAATTGTATGGTTTGTTTTGCATCTATTTATTGCACATGGTACATCATTAGGTTGTTTGTTTTCATCCTTCGATGTGAAATTTGACCTCTGAATATTTCTATGATTAATACTTTTAGTTATAAATAAATAAATACAACTGTTTTTATGTCTACCTTATTATATTTTGAGGGCCTTCGTTTTCCTTTGGGCTGCCTTTGTTATTATATGGTCTGTTTTTGACTTTTTGTTGCCTTCTCACATGGTTATCAACTTGGACCCATGTAGACCCTGGTTCACAAAACTAAAATTTCAGTAACCAGTAACTGGTTCTGTAATTCCCTTTAGTGTTCAGCATTGTAAAGGAAATATCTAAGGATATCTGAATTTTGTTTCTTTATTACAGATACTCTTCACGTATCTGGATAACTATAGAATTTTTCTTTTTCCATGAACTTAAAATGTTCACCAGGATTTGCCAATATGTTGGTATGTTTAAATTAACTTTATTCCTGGCTTGTGGTAAATATTTTCAATCTATGCCCAAATTTCACTTTTGGCAATTTTTTTTCTTCTTGTATATCTTATTTCTTCTACCTACTTCCCCATCCTCACATTGAAATGCCTGTAGTATGGATTTTCCTCTGTTTTCCATCTTTGCCATATTTCATATTGCTGCTAATATGCTATTGATTTTCTTTTCTGTAGAATATATTATCCTATTTACTGCCTTCAATGTGTATTTTAATTTTTCAAAATGCTTGAATATCTTTAGTTCTTTTCTCATCTTTGGCAAATGTCTTGTCTTCTGATTTCACGTTGGCCAAGTCTCTGCTAAAAATCAGACATGGCTCATATCACATCAGCCTCACAACCTAGACACTATCAAGTAGTCTCTGAAAGAAATAAGGAGTTCAAAGTGCTTTCCATTTTATTCTGCAGACTTTTGCATTGTCCACAATGGGGAGGCAGAATGGAAAATAAATGAGATGACTCGCACAAATTTAAGCAATGTGTAAGCTACTTTTAAAGCACCTAATATTAATATATCTCTCATCCATATTGTCAATTGTATTGTTACACAGTCATCCTTTCCATACGACTATCCACAACTACAATTTAAGAATGTATCTCTCATATTTTGAAAGTAATAGGAAATATTTACATTTATCTGGCTTTAGAAATAAGATTGTGACGAAGATTGTGTCAAATAAGATTGTGACAATCACAAAATAAGATTGTGAACCCGGACACAGTAGGTGTCTTCTGCATAGTTTTTTTCAGGATCTGACAGTATTTTTGAGCAACACATTGACCCTAGCTCTATGTATCAAACCATTGACCTTTATTTCCAAATTGTAACTCTACGAAAATTTTAGGATCATATTTATAACTTATTTCAGATTGTTGGATGATTGCTTAATAGGAAATGAGGTTAGATTTTTCACTTCTTAATGTTGTAAGAACATATCATTTTTATAAATCACTGAATTCCAAATTTGAAATTTCCTGTACAGCTAGTTTAGGATGGTTCATAACAAATCTATCAATGATCCTTTTGAAATAATTCTACATATTAATCTGTGCATATCCATAAGAATTCTTTCTCTGATTATATAAATTATAAAAGTAGGAGAAAATTCTAGAATTTATATTACATTGACTATTCCTCACTGTTTTCTGTCTCTGACATCTTACCAACTTCAAGGAAACACAGAGGGGTCGCTATTCAATCCTTTCTGTTACGGACTGCAGACATGTGAATAATCGTTCAAGAAAGGAAGAGTGTTCTGCCTTATAAATATTGTACCATTGTGAGTTTTTTAAAATGTTTTAAACATAGACTCTCCATTGAAAGTAAAATTCAGAAAGGCATAATGAATTTCTGTAACCTGGTCAAATTTTATTAATAGATTTAGTTTGTTTTTAAAAACTGCATAAGAAAAGTATATGTTTGGTGGTTGAGAAAAAATATCTCTAGTCACACAATTTCTCATGATTTAAGAATGTAGAAATGGGCATAAGTTGGATCTATCTATAGTATATGACTTTTTATATTATATCAAAATTAAAATGTAAATCTTTTTTCTAAGAACCTCAAAACCCTTATAAAAGACATTATTATCCTTGTTATCTAATAGTTGCCATGATAATAGATTGTATTTATTTTGTTTTATTTTCTTTCAAAGTGCTTCTCTATATGTTTTTTCTGCTTTGTGGGAGAAAGAATGAATGTTTTGAATAGATTATAAATTATTTTCTTATATGTGAATAAATGCATGCTTTCTATGTTTAGTGTGCAATGAATTCTAAGCCCAGCTATACCATTAACTCGAGATTTGGGAGAATTCACTGAACTTCTTCGGATTTTGGATTACTCATCTGTACAATAAATTACCTCTAATCCCCAGAGACAGAAACTCCAACAAAATGATTTTGTGATATTAATATTTATAATGCTTTCTAACAGAAATAGTCATTTGAAAATTTAATTTTTCCCTTCCTCCTTTACACAGAGTACTTTAGCCTTTTATTTTGTTCCTTTCTTGTCCGACTTGCACGCTTCATGGTTTTATCATTCCCTATTTTTCCACAAGTGTTGTATGACAATAAGCATCTTTATTTGTTCCTCTAACTTTCTTTTTTCTTTAAATAATACCGTCAGCTCATTTATACTGCTCTCCAAACTCAATTGCTTCTAAGACATGTGGAATTGAGTACTATGAGGCCAGGCACATCATGTTCCTCTCTTCTATCCCCCACATCCCTAAAGAAGGGGCTGACTTACGTACCCTAAAAATTTACATCAGGTGTTATCAGCTGCAGGCACACTGCATTATAGTAGACTGGGCAGGAAGTATCACCTCATTTTTCATATGAAGAAATTGATAGATATTGACTTAGAAGGTTAGGAAATAATGTGGATACAGCCTATTGGTTCAAGGTAATTTTTCTAATCCGAGACCCTACTTGAGTATGCAGTCACTGATAGGCTGATAAGGGAAAAGCAGGGCGGCGGTGGGAGTAGTGACAGAGAGAGAGAAAAAAAGAATGAAAGTCTTTTCTATGATCATCCAAAAAGGCCATGAGCAATGGAATCCAAATATCTCAATACTCAGCCCACTGATTTCTTTTTGACAAATAATGTTGGGCATTTTGTCATTAAAAAAATGATAAAAATCAAATATTTGAAAGCTAAATACTATTTGTAAATTTTAGCCAAAAAAAAGCCTGAACTTCTATTAAGATTATCAAAAGAATGGCATCTTTTATGGATAACACACAAAATAAAATTTATATTTTAATGTGGAAGAACTTTAGGGTGTTATGTTCAATAAAATCTATATGACATTCATTCACATCAAAGTAAGAACAGCACAGTTGAAAGTAAACTGAATTCATCTGTGCAGATAGATAATCCACAGAAAAAAATAAAGAGCTTTTCCTCGGTATGTGAAAGACTTTCAGTGATTTGTTGGAATCTCTTTTCATCAGAATCAAGTGGAGGAGTCTTTTGTATGGCTATGAGGTTTTGGATGACAGGTGAATTTCAAAGATAACTGGCATTTGTTGTAAATATATCAGTGTTGTACAATCAGCATTCATATAATACAATGTCTTATTCCTTTATGCTTTGTATCTTTTTGGTAGCATGAAAAAAATACATGTTAAGTATTTTTACTATTTTAATTACAATATATGAAAGTGTTTACTGAATAAGAAGTCTCTATGGAAAACCAAATACTCTAGGAAGGTGTCAAAATGAAAATGATTTTTAATTTTTTCTAGGCCACAGAAATTGTTCTCAACTGCTGTTGTGTACATAAATCTTAAAGATGCTAATAG